ATTTTGGTGTTTTTTTTTTTTTTTTAGTTATAATTTGCTTTATATTTAATTCTTTTATCTCTTTACTATTCATTGGTTTGTGTAGTGCTTTTAAATTATGTTTTGTTTTGTTTTGATCTGATTTGGTGTTGATAAATATCGAACCAACAAATGGGTTTGTCGACATGTCCACAGGTCTCCGCACTGGCTAATCCATCCCATTCCATACCCCAAGCACGAGCATGTAGTTCGCCTTTAAATTTCGTTTATGTAATAAAGATCTCTGTGGTTGCAGGTCTCACACGTGACATCAATAACTTGACGCAGCGATATGACTCGGAAGCAGACACGGCAGCTGATCCGGATACGGATGCCACTGGCGATAGCATCGAGCAAAGTTTGACTACAATTACACCGCCTAATAAGATGCAGCACTCACTGCATGCTGGTGTCTCGAATCTGACAGGGGGAATCGGTCCACGATCCTCACAACAGCACAGCTCATTCAAACGTCCGGTGATGGGCAATCGCGGCCTGGAGACACGTCAAAGCAAGCGCTCTCAGCAGCCCGCACCGATCAACGTGACCACCAATGGCAATGCCAGCACACCGGTGCTACCTGCTCACCCCATCACGGTGGGTGCTTTGGAGGTTATGAATGTTAAGCGGGTTGTCAATCGCTATGGAACCTTGCCCAAGGGGGCACGTATAGGTGCCTTCCTGGACAGCCTAGAAGACAGCAGCAGCAGCAATAGCAGTGGCGCCGGGACGGGCTCTGAGGCACCAGTCAATGGACATACCACTCCAGCAGCAAACACAGCAGCTGCAGCAACAGGTCGTGCGCAACCCGCTGTGCCCGCCATGCCAACAGCGACTAGCAAGGCGCAACAGGTACCACAACAGATGATTCGAAGCAATTCCTCTGGCGGCGTGACTATGCAGAACAATGCAGCGGCCAGTTTGAATAAGCTGCAACGACATCGCACCACAACAGAGGGTACCATGATGACCTTCTCCTCGTTCCGTGCTGCTGGCAGCAGCAGTTCGCCTAAGCGTAGTGGCATTACACAGCCGGCGCTGGCTAATCTGGAGTTTCCACCGCCGCCGTTGGAGGAATTCGAAGCATTGCCGCCACCACCGCCACCGCCAGCACCTGAGAGCGCCGTCCAGGCCATACAACAGCATCTGCATGCTCAGCACAGCAGCAGCAACGATGTTAGCAATACGGCGCCCAGCGTCGAGGAGGCCAGCTCCCGGTTTGGTGTCTCGCTCCGCAAACGTGAACCCTCCACGGATTCGTGCAGTTCGCTGGGCACACCACCCGAGGCGTCAGTATCAGCAGCAACAGCAGCAGCCGAAGAAAAGAGTCTGAATCTTAAAGAGAAACTCATCACAGAAATCAAATCAGCGGGCAAGCCATCCGATCCATCTATAGGCTATACCAATGGCGGTACCCCAGTCGTTGTGGATCCTGTTGCCCAATTGGTTACCGAGCTGGCCGAGAGCATGAATCTGCCGAAGCCCTCAAAACTGACTAATGGCAATTGCAGCACCAATACCAACAACAGCAACACCAACAGCAACAACAACAACTTCAAGGCGCAATTGAAGAAAGTAGAGCCAAAAAAATTGAATACGCCCATTCCGAAGTCTGATCAGCCCACAAACATAATAGACTTCAAGGCGCATCTACGCAAAGTGGACAAAGTGGAGCAGCAACAGCCCAAGGAGCAAAGTCTTCAGCAACAACAGCAACAATCGCCAAACGCCAATTGCAATACAGCGCGCAGGGATGAAACCAAAAAGTTTAGTGCCGCGAATCAAAAGACTGAAATCAAAATCGATGTTAGCAACTCCAATGCGGACACGGATGGAGGCGATACGGGCACAGGCACAGGCACGGGCAACAGCTCAGACGGTGGCAAGCGACGCAGCACAGGTAGTATTAATAGTTTAAAAAAACTTTGGGAGCAGCCTAGTGGCGACTATGCCAGCACAACAATCCCACAGACCATGGCAACGAGCAATGGTGGCGGCGCCAGTGCCCAATTGTCGCCTAAATATGGCTTCAAAGCAATACAGCAGCCGTTGGGTAATCTTACTGGGAATAGCAAAGTGTTTGGTAATAAGCCGCCGCCAGCGGCACCACCACCACCGCCCCCAATTAGCAGCACTCCAAGCACCACAGCACAGTCCAAGCCAGCAGTAGCTGCCACAACCAAATTAGCAACCACAGCAATAAAAACATCTCTTTCAACGCAACTCTTCACAGATGCCGAAGGCAGCAGCAGCAATGAGGAGCAGCACCAGCAGACAGGTGATCAAGCGGAGCTGATGACGCAGTCGCTCTATAGCGATCAGTACAACAACTCCAACGCCAACTCCTCGAATCAGCAGTCGCCTCTACCGAGCAATGCCAACAACAAGCTCAACACCTCTTCCAGCAATAGTCAGAATAAGCCTGCCGTGCCGCACAAGCCCACCAAGTTGACTATCTATGCCACGCCCATAGCCAAAATCGCTGGGATCGGTGTCGACGGCGACAACATCAATTCGACGCAAATCTCTAGGGAAAGCATTTTGGAGCTGGTGACATTACTGGAGGGCTCACTGAAGCATCCAGTGAATTCAATCTCTGCATCGCAGTGGCTGCAGCTCAGTGATAAGTTGAATATCCTCCAAAACTCATGCGTGGTCTTTGCGGAGAACCAGTCGATGCCACCGCACTCGAAGTTCCATTTTCGCGAGCTTGTAACCCGAGTGGAGACGCAGTCGCAGCATCTGCGCACTGCCGGCAGCAAAAATGTGCAGGATAATGAGCGATTGGTTGGCGAGGTGGGTCAATCGCTCAAACAGATCTCGAATGCGCTGCATAGGTAAATGATAAGAACGGGGATGGACGCACAGCAGAGCGGTGTTGCACCAGCTGACAACAACGGCGCCGGCATATGGCTAGATGCCGAAGGCAACTTTATCAAGCGCAAGCAGCAGCCCCACTGAGAAAATATACATATAAATATGTATCGATATCCATATACATATGTATGTATTAGAAGCACACATTGCTCCCACCATCCCCATCACCCACTTCCAGCGAAGGCGGACGACAGAAGACAACGAACTGGAAACGGATTAAACGATAGCATAACTACAACTTGAAAGCCCAGCGATGAAGCTCAGCAACAGAGAAACAGCAACATTACAAAAAAAAAATGCAACTATAATTAATAATTAATATATACATATACTATATAGTAGTTGGTAGCATGTAGTACCAACTGCAGTAGTATTTAGTAGTCTTAGCGATTATACATATATCTAGTCATATATCTGATGCATCTGCTTATATCCAGAGATAAACAGAGAGAGAAGGAGAGATAGAGAGAGCGGGCTTCGAAACTGAGTTGCAAAGCAAATTTTTCTATATAATTACGTCTTCTACTATTTTCTTTGATTTCAATTGTGAATAATCTTTACATATTACACATTACTCACGTTATTCTTTTGGCCACTTTTCAATTAAGCTTAAGCTTTGTTCTAATTAATATTGGAAGACATATACCTAAGTGCATATAGAGAAGGTTGGTAATGCCAACATATTGATCAATATAAATATATAAAAATTAGTAATTACAATGCACACACATATATATGTGTATATATATATATATATATATATATATATATATATATATATATATATATGCTAGTCGATAAAAGTGTTTTTAGTATCCCTATACTAGATATACATATATATATTATATGTCGTGCGATGTCCGTTCTAAGCAGGAAAACTCAATCTACAACGTTTAGAATTTTCTTCGTCTTTTTAGTACTCGTAATACCTTCGTATATATATTGATCTATGTGTACTACTTGGCATCAATTTAAACAGTAGCAAAGCCCAAAGATATTATTAACGACTTCTCAATAGAAAAAAGAAAAATTTTTAAAAATATATATACATATATATATAAATATATATAATAGTTGCAAAAGACTAAAACTTATTATTATTACGTTGAACAATGCAAGGTAAAAATAAATATAAACAGGTGGCAAACGCTTTTTAAACACATACTTATACACAAAAACAAATTGTAATTATTATCTGATATTTTATGGATTTTAAACTACTTTTATACGTAAAAATACACACATACAAACACAATTACACGAAAAAAACCAAATAAATATTCATTTCATATACATAGCTTCGGATCAACATTAGGGCGGGTCATATAACATATAAAATTGGCATACATATTATATATAGATGTGCAAAACAAAACCTTTTACCAAACAAAATATCTCCCCCTAAATAACAGACAAAGACAATGTGCATTCAAAACATATATTTATATATAAATATAAATACTATATTTCTGTAACTTCTATAAAATCTGTGCGTCTGAAAGCGCTTAGATATACTCTAAATATATATAGATACATATACAATATTTAAAAAGAATCGGATCAAAAATACTTCAAAGAGAAATAAAATGATATGCAAAACTAAATGCGTTCTACACGTTTTAGCTACTCAAGAAAATTCATATTTGGCCAGGTAATTATTATTATTTTGAAAAACAATTTTAGTACATTCTGTTTATACTAAAAGTCATACTCTTCCATTAGATTTACTTCTGACGAAAGCTGAAATTTGAATTTAAAGCTTTTGGCGATATCGATAGCCTCGCCGCCGCCGATTTGCTTGTATCGATAGATAATGTTTCATTTCACAGCACCAGTTGAGAACTGAACTAGTTTCCTTCTGATGGATAAAATTTTCTATAGTGAAACATATTGGAATATTACTGCTGCTCTTGAATTCAAGTATGTGAATTCCCAATGCCATTCGAACATAAATTTTTACATTTCATAAACTTGCATTGAATTACATCACAAAATTAGTTCTATTTTGATTTTACAATAGTGGTAAATAACAAATAATGGAATTTCTTTGGGCGGGCATGAAATATCGCTCGGTGTTCATAACAGTGCCGCAAATGGTAATGTTGTTGCCCATGTTATGTTAAATAACATTTCTGTTTTGGCATTCGTTCTTTTTCTTCATAAAGAAAAGAAGAAGAGAAAGAGGAAAAAAGACGAAATAATATATAATAATAGAATATTATTTATACTGTGATATATAACCAAGCATTGTTTGTGTCTGCAAACCGGTAATTGAATAACAAATCAGCAGTAATCCAGAAGGACCAGCAGTAAACCAATTGCGATAACAACAGCAGCAGCAGCAACAACAAGAAGAGGAAATTCATCCAGCAGAAGCAGCAACAGCAACCAGCAACTCTTACAATGCCACTCTTTGGTAAATCACAGAAAACGCCAGCTGAATTGGTCAAGTCGCTGAAGGAGGCAATAAACGCATTGGAATCAGGGGACCGAAAAGTGGAGAAGGCACAAGAGGATGTTAGCAAAAATCTGGTATCGATCAAGAACATGCTGTACGGCAGCAGCGATGCGGAACCGCCAGCGGACTATGTAGTTGCGCAGCTATCGCAGGAACTGTATAATAGTAACTTACTCTTACTGCTAATACAGAACTTGCATCGCATCGATTTCGAGGGTAAGAAACATGTGGCGCTCATTTTCAATAATGTGCTGCGCCGTCAGATAGGTACCCGCTCGCCCACAGTGGAATACATATGCACGAAGCCAGAAATTCTATTTACATTGATGGCCGGCTATGAGGATGCACATCCGGAGATAGCCCTCAATTCGGGCACAATGCTGCGCGAATGCGCCCGCTATGAGGCGCTAGCAAAGATCATGCTGCATTCGGATGAGTTTTTCAAGTTCTTTCGGTATGTGGAAGTGTCAACGTTTGACATCGCCTCCGATGCCTTCTCCACGTTCAAAGAGCTGCTGACACGCCACAAGCTCTTGTGTGCCGAATTCCTAGACGCCAACTACGATAAGTTCTTCGCTCAGCATTATCAGCGATTGCTGAACTCTGAGAATTATGTGACACGACGCCAGAGTCTGAAGCTGCTCGGTGAACTGCTTCTCGATAGACATAACTTCACCGTGATGACGCGATATATATCAGAACCAGAGAACCTGAAGCTAATGATGAACATGCTGAAGGAGAGATCGCGCAACATACAATTCGAGGCGTTTCATGTCTTCAAAGTGTTTGTCGCGAATCCAAATAAACCGAAGCCGATTTTGGATATCCTGCTGCGCAATCAAACGAAACTGGTCGACTTCTTAACCAGCTTCCATACGGATCGATCCGAGGATGAGCAGTTTAACGACGAGAAGGCTTATCTGATTAAGCAGATAAGGGAGCTGAAACCGCTGCCCGAGGCTTAGTGGGCAGCTATAACGAGAAGTCGAAAGAGAACGAGAACAAGAACATTTTGGCCTTGGCTGTATGGCAGGATGACGATAGCGAAGACGAAAGCAGGAGGACAACAACAGACAACGGACGTAAACATAAATACACCATGTGTGTGCAGGGCGTGGGTTATCCATAACCAAATGCAAATGCATAAGCAATTGCAATACACACACAAGAGACGAAGACAACGACGATGACGATGACCGATGACCGATGACGACAGCACTTGTGAGTAACTAAACAATAATTTAGACAAAGCAAACAAAATGATAACGATAAATAACGATAAAGCAGAATACATAAGTAGTAACAGCAAGTACACACAATATATTGTATGTAATAGCGTAAAGGAGTAAATGCAGCCGCATCATATCGCGAATTTAACTAAAAAGGAAAAACAAAAAATGGAAACACTCACACATACATACACACACACACACCAAAATACACTAACTTAATTTTTTTCCATCACTGAGAATATAATATATTCGCTCCAGCTTCCGTCTAGCTCGCTTTTAAAAATTGTTCAGCGTTCGGTTTGTTGTTGTTCCAGTTCCAGTTCGAGATCCTCGTGCGCTTGTAGCCGTATATAGACCCTATGTATGTACACCTCTACCTATTTACTGTTACTACTACTTTTCGTAAAAACAGTTTATTATTTTTACTTCCTTCTTTTTTGTGAAACTCTTGCTATTTAAATAGTTGTATTGAAATTGAAGCGTTTTTGAAACGTTATAACCAGGACAATGAAGATAATATATGAGTTTTGACTTACAATTTAGACATTAAACATTTCAAATGTGCGCCGAAATTAACTATTACGGTAACTTATTATTTTTAAATATGTATGAAAGAAAACAAAATCAATTGTAATTTCACGTAAAAACTTCATTCAGAATACTGCATAATAATTATAGTTATAATTAACAAACAGCATTCAAAAAACACTCCACTCCAATGCACACACCGACACACACACTTAACATCCATACGTACATAGTAAAAAGGGAAGTAAAACAACAACATTACGAACAGCGTAATAAATATATGATTATTATAATTTATATTATTCCCAAAATTAAAGATAACAGCCAAAAAATGTCTTGTGTCATTCTGATTGGAAAATGGGTAAATTAAGAGGGGGGACAGACGGTCAAAGCTACTGTGTCATGTGCTAGTTAGGCCGGGCTACACTGCTAGATACTGTTACTTATCTATGTATGCTAATAGTTTGTGAAAGTTATAAATATTAAAAGGCCATCTCAAATTTAGGATTGTCTATGAAAACTATCGATTTAATATGGAATTATTGAATATTTTCATCGCAAGCTAAGTTTTGTTCAGCCCTGGTGTAGATCAGCTGTCTTCAAATTTCAGCGCCTATATCAATATTTAGCTAATTGTGTTTTATACCATGCATAAGAGATTTCGCAAATTAACAAGTCGAGCAAACGCGGAAGCCTACAGCAGCAACAGTTCCAGCGAGTCAAATGTGAATAGTAATACATCATTTGTGGCTAAGAAATATGCAAGACAGAAGCGAAAACAACCCGTCGCGATATGCATTTCCGAGACAAGCACCGATGAACTCCACAAAGATGACTTAGGAGAGGAAAATCGCAAGTGGCTGCCAAATCTTAAAAAATTCAGTAGCGATCCTAATCCTCTTAAACTGGTTCAACACAATAGTTACCAGCCGTTATCAGTGTCCATCACAGCCAAATCTCCATCCCAAACTAAGCCACCAAATACGTCTGATGCTTCCAACTGTTCCACTCCATCATCATCAATATCACCAGCAGCATGTCGTGCTGCCTACAATAGTTTTCGGCAAACATTAACAGCAATAAACCACAAGCAAAAATCTATAAATAAATCGATCTTGGATTGTACTCCAGTAGCCGAGGAGGCAAATGAAAATCTGCAAAGAAAAAGAACCTTTGTGTCTTATAAATATTCTCACCAGAAGAGAGAAAATCCCATCGAGTTACACATTTCCGACACAAGCAGTGATGAGTTCCATAAAGATAAATTGGAGGAGGAGAATCGCAAGAGGCTATCAAATCTAAAGAGATACAATAGTGATTCCAAGCCTCTAAGATTAATACAACACAATAGGTATCGGTCGTTATCGGTATCCATCACATCTAAATCTCAGTCTCAAACTAAGCCAACGCATGATGTATCCAATTGCTCCACTGAAGCAGCCGTAGTCTTCTCGTATAGCTTTGGCGAAACAGTAACACCATCAAATCCTAATCAAGAAACTATGAATAAATCACTCTTGGATTGCACGCCAATCATTTCCTTAGAGGCAAATTTGGGAAGGATGGTAGAGAAGGAGCAAACTTCACCAAAACTTGTCCAAAAGAAACAGCGTTGCATTAAAGGTGGATATCTATATGAATACAAAAGGGTGCTGCTGAAGGAGTGCATGGACCGTCGCAGTTTGGCTCAAAATCAGCGTCTGGGCATAAGCTCAGGACAACGCGTGCAAGTGCTGCACCTATTCGAATCCTTTGGTGTGAAAATGGCACAAGTTAAGCCAGAATATGGTGAACAGGATAAAGGAAAATTTAACGTTATAATCTCACCTATCATGGCAGCTAATATTAGTGTTGGCGCTACTCTTGAGCTTTACTTTGACTTGAAACCGGAGACAGCATTGAAACTCCCTAATAACGAGCTGGTTTACGTACATCCAAATAAATTAGTTTTATTATAAGTATACACAATTAAGACTATTGTAGAATATTTTAAAAATATATTACGACCCATTTACGTGCTCCTAACGTCGCTTTTTCTTCTCTAGCTTCCGTATTTTATGTAGACGGCGGGCCGCATTACCGCTGCCTTGCGCTGGCTCATCGATAAGGCGTGCCTCTTCCTCAACTGTGTCCTGCGAATCGTTGCCACTCATTAGCACCGCAGCGGATATGCAAACGAATTGAAATATGGCTCCCACAAAGAGCCCATAGCGTACTAGCACGGCAATAAAGTCCTCTTCTCCATATTTGTCCAGAGTAGCTGTAGTTACTCCAATATTGTCAGCAGTCATTTTTTGTTTGCAAAATATAGTTTGTGTATGCGGTGTACAGGGTGATTAGTGCATAAACAGCTGTGAGGCTACTGCCATAAATATAAGAAGAAGCGCACATTTCCCAAAAGCCGCTCAATTTAATAAGCTTAACAAATCTTGGTTGTCTATATTTCCCTTTATTTTATATAGCGGCCTCTATTAATACTTCAATAATATCAAAATGTTTTATATATGGAAACTATTTGCAACATCTGTTGATTTTGTTTATAGTTTTGTGTATGTGGTCCACAGGGTGATGAATACAAAGAACAGCTGACTTGACTGTCATAAATAGAAAAAGAAGCAAGAATTTTTCTGCGTTTGCGGTTGATGACTTCAATCGATTTTTGCATAATTCGTTTTTATTATTTAAGTATTTAGTAGATATCATAATTATGTTGAGTTTTCGCTTACTAACCGCACTTAGCGCCACCCGTTCGTATTCCCTTAACAGTCAAAATCTTCGATTTGTTGAATTTACGATTGCCCGCCGCAATTTTTCTAATGCCTTGAAGGAGGTGAAAAGTGGAAGTTCAACTAAAAAGTCACCGAATGGCACGTTTAAATTGACGTTGTTGGGTGCATGCATTGGCGCTGTCGCTGGATCTACATATACGCTGTACACACGAATATGTGACAAGAATTCGCACAAAGAGCATGAACGAACGCCGCCGAAAGTCATAGAATATTTCCCAGCGGACGTGCGCATCACAAAGCGTTTCATAAATCCAAACGACACCTCCGGCCTAGACATAGTGCTATTTCAATATCAGACATGTCCATTCTGTTGTAAAGTACGTGCGTATCTGGATTACATGGGTATCTCCTATTCTGTTGTGGAAGTCGATGCGGTGCTTCGACAGGATATCCGATGGTCAGATGTTAAGAAGGTGCCAATGGTACTGATTCGCCAGCAGGATGGCAAATACGTCCAGATGACGGACTCCAGCGCCATTATTTCCCTTGTCGCTTCCAGCCTCCACGACAAGCGCATGGACGTGGGGGAGCTTGCGCAGTTCTATCCACAGATTTCTTACTTCGATGATGATGGCAAAAAGCGTCAAGACATATTGAACAAATACTTTCTAATGTACCAGGATCGCACACCCAAAAATATGACCAGAGAAATCGAAGAGTGAGTATTTATTCGCGTCTCCCAATTACTCAATTATAAATAGGGATCTTTCTGCAGAAACGAACGCAAGTGGCGTACCTGGGCAGATAATCATCTAGTACATCTTATATCACCCAATTGTTACCAGACCTTTGACGAGGCACTGGAGACTTTTGAGTGGTTTGCATTGGCCGGCGAATGGGATATCCATTTTCCTAAATGGGAGCGTGATTTGATGGTTTATTGCGGAGCGACAGCAATGTGGGTAATAGCTAAGATATTGAAGCGACGACACCAGCTCACCGATGATGTCCGCTCCCATATGTATGATGCTCTAAACAAGTGGACGGCGGATCTTAAAAAGCAAAATACTAAGTTTATGGGCGGCAAAAAACCGGGTCTTGCGGATCTTTCAGTGTTTGGCGTACTCAGTAGCATGGAAGGTTGCCAAACATTCAAGGACTGCTTACAAAATACAAACATTGGTAACAAAGCTCTTTAAACAATATAAAAAATTCGTATGCAATTTATTTTATTCCAGGTAAATGGTTTTACGATGTCAAGGAGCTCGTGCAGCAGAATCGTGGTAAATTGCATAGGGAGCGTATAGTTGGTGTGCCAGCATTAGCACAGTAAAAGTTATTATGTGAAACATTTACGCCCAAAGATAAAAAATTGTTGAAATAAAAACCACATTTTATTATCAATTCAAATAGAAGAAATATCGATATACATAACTAGAAATGGCATTCACGCCGCGTTGGTTTTTTAAAATCGATAAGTCGATTTGCCTGCACATCTCTAAGTGAGTGAAACGCCGCTAGACAGAAACTTGCAAATCATTTCGGGTTGCTTTTCGTCTTGGAAATTTAATAAAAGCTAAAAAAAAAAAAAATATGAATAGTTTTGGCATAGAACAATTCCCGGATTATAAAGTGCCCGGAGTGCAGCATGTAGATTTTTCTCCCTACGAGTCCAATGGCGGGTGAGTGCTCAAAAGACGTAATTGGTGGAGACACCAGCAGCATTAAATATATTTTTAATTGTCAGCTCTATTGTTGCCATAGCCGGAGATGACTTCGTGGTTATTGCCGCAGATACACGTCTGAGCAGTGGGTATAGCATCCACTCTCGTGACCAGAGCAAACTTTTCGAAATGTCACCAAAAACTGTTTTGGGCTCCACTGGCTGCTGGTGCGATACCCTTTCTCTGACGGGTTTGGTTAAAGTTCGTATGCAAATGTATGAGCACACTCACTTGAAGACAATGACGACTGATGCAGTGGCACAAATGCTTTCCATTGTCATGTATAACCGTCGCTTCTTCCCTTACTATGTGTCTAATATCTTAGCTGGTTTGGACAAAGATGGAAAGGGCGCTGTCTATTCATATGATCCCATTGGTCACTGTGAACGTGCGACTTATCGTGCTGGCGGCTCTGCTGGAGCCTTGCTGCAGCCAGTGCTAGATAACCAGATCGGTTATAAGAACCAAAACTTGTCCCTTGATCAGCTGCCGCCACTCACTAAGGAACGTGCGGTTGCAGTTGCTTCTGATACATTCATCTCGGCCGCTGAACGTGATATATATACTGGTGACTCGGTGCTGATAAATATCATTACTGCGGATGGCATTGAGAAACGAGAGCTTCAATTGCGCAAGGATTAAGAACACTAAGGTCAAGGATAATCAAAAAACTGCATTCACATATTACGTTCGACTTAAATTTGTTGTAACTCTATAAATAAAACTAAAGTCTACAATAGCAGCCTTGTTAAATATGCTTTGCACAAAAGCGAAACATAAACATGAACATAAACTGCGCTTAACCACTAACCATAGGACTTCTATGGTTAGTGGCTTAACAGTGTATACAGTACAGTACAGCTTTTAATTTGCAATGAATTTTGATCGCATTGTATTTTATAAGTCGACTTATAAGTTCTGACTTCAGTCAGAAAAATGTAAACTTTGCAGTTGTGTATTTGTTTTTTTTGTTTTGTTCTTTTTTTTCTAATACATGACAACCCTGACAAGCAGCTGAAAATTCTTATTCAGTTTCCTTTGAGTGTGCGCTCGCTGAAGCCAATGACCAGCAGATTGCATTTACTTATAGCTATATCAATTTGACTGCGATTCTCACACATCCTTGCTACTAAGGCTATGCTAGCATCCATTGTGAAGCCTGGTACATTTCGACACATCATGTGTCGAAACAATATATATCCACGCAGTAATGTAACGCGTTTCTCAGTGCCAGATGATTTGGTTTTTTGGAATGTTCCCTATGAATCGTATTGCCCGACCTGCTATACTGCGCCGCACATTAATGGCCAGACGTGGGCAGATGAACCGCTGCCATTTGGAATCAAATGGAATCAGAATGATGGCCTGGTAAATCGAGTCTCATTCCACGGTGAATACAAGATAAAAAATGGTCTGCCACAAAATCCTATTGGCCGGACAGGATTGTGTGGGCGTGGCTTATTAGGACGCTGGGGTCCTAATCATGCGGCCGATCCAATAGTCACGCGCTGGAAACGTGATGAAAACGGTGAGGTTCTGAGTCATGAGAATAGCGGCAAGTAAGTAAAACTGCAGAATGGACGACGGAAACATTTCTAAGCTGTGCTCACACGTTTTATACAGAAACATACTCCAGATGGTAGCTATACAGCGCTCAGACAATAAAATGTGGGCAATTCCTGGCGGCATGGTTGATCCGGGAGAGAATGTGAGCGTCACACTGAAACGCGAGTTCACCGAAGAGGCCCTCAATTTCGATGATAAAGGCAACATGGTCGAGCAGTTCTTCAAGCAGAGTGGGGAACATGTCTACAGCGGATATGTTGACGACTTTCGCAATACGGACAACTCGTGGATGGAGACAACAGCACTGAATTTCCACGACGACGACGGCAGCAAAGTTGGTCAGCTGCAACTGCAAGCCGGTGACGATGCCACAAATGTGCGCTGGACAGATATTAACGGGGACCTCAAATTACACGCCAACCATGCAGATATTGTAAGAGAGGTCATTATCAAGCGGAATGCGCATTGGTAGGCGACAAATAATATAGTGTATTCATTTGTTTAAATATCAAATTTTTCACTTATTAATTTGCTAATATAGGTTACATTCATTTATATATGTGAACTATTTATAGATTATTTAATTGAAAGCCTTTAAGATGGATATGGTTATCTTTTGTGTATTTATTTCAAACTATTCACTATTTATACATTTACGCGTTTGCGCTTTAACAATTTGAAAAAAGCTGCATATTTCGCTAGGAAACCAATTTAACATATATAATTTATTTCGTTGAGTGCATTCATCAAATTCCATCTCGTGCTCCTCGTGGTAGCCTAATTAGCTAAAAAATGTAAATAAAACTTCAGTGCCCGTGTAAGTGCTTGACGGCATATGCTGGTGGATAAATTCGCTTTTGTGCGCGTCTAAAGAGATTGAAGGAAGTTGTAGGCCTCTTGACTGGAATTGGCCACGTTATTGAATTGGTCCGGATACTGCTCGCGTATTTCCAAAATTAAAGCACGCGAGCTCATTTTGATTTCTCCTTCGGGTATTTGGTCCTTGTATAATACATCTATGGTGATTTTAAGGATTTGCTCAATGTATTCGACGATAGCGGGTCGTGCGTGCATGTATAGAACACGGAATGCCTTGTGCACCATATCATTCTCATCCATATCCTCGCGTAGTGGCAAATGCGAGAGTAAAACGGGCAAAACTTGCGCCAATGGAACAATATTGTGATTGGTCACGATCATACGAGAAACGGCGCCGCAAATATTATCGAGTGCCGGAGCATTTGTCTCCGAAGCAATCGCTCCAGAAAGAGCTTGTAAAATCACATGGAAGGATCTGAAAAAAAAGATGAGGTATTGAAATCAATAACTAAATACATATCTTTAATTATGTAACTTACTCAAAGGACTTCTCTTCGGCGTGCAAAACAAGCTCGCCTAGGCCGAAGTAACAATTCTGACGAGCTTTTGGCTCCGGATCATTTACGCCATCTACAAAAACGGGGCACAACTCATCGAAATAAGTGGCCACACAGACACCCAGCGATTGAAAGGAGTCAGCCAATGCACCATAAACGAATGTGCGCTGTTCACTCAAATCATTTCTCTTGGCCTTGTTCTGAAAGGCAAACAGTATGTTAAATCAATCTTTACATACACAGATTTCAAAATATCTGACGAACCAGTTTGTTTAAGTAGTACTGATAGACGCGACCAAAGTACATAGAGAATATTTCAGGAGTTAAAGCTTTTCCAAAAGACGGTAAAAGATTACCCGCGTTCTCAATAAGCAGTTCATCAAATTCGCTGTCTTCAGCTTCCTCCTCATCCCCACCACCGGATGGCTCATTGAACTGACAAGCCATTTTATTATTTAGAACATCCTTGATGCAAGCAAATATCATGTCACCGATTTCCTGAGTGGGTACCGCAGCGCTCTTCACCTCAACGAATATATCGCTTAGCATGTCGAGTAAATGAATGACGACGCCCTGATCCTCATCCTCACGGATCATATGTGCAAATTTTGGCATAATTATTAGGCAAGCACGCTTGACACCCTCGGCATCACCCATTTTGTAGAGTGACGAGACAAAGGCGGCGATGGCTTCAATGGCGGACTTGCGGATGTTCTCCTGTTGGTGCTCAATCACCTTGTAGACATTTTCAAAAGATGTCTGCAAATAGGGTGCAAAGGCGCTGCCTGTGTTCATAGCAAATTCTTTAAGCGCTAATATAGCTTCCTCCTTTTCAAACACATAATCGTTTTCTACCTGATATGCTTCCTCATCATCGTCATCTTCATCGTCTGTATTATCCAAATCAATGTCAATATTAGAAGCGGCCACTTCACCATTGAACAAACGATTACCACCATTCTCATCATTTATGGGAAGCATATCTTCCGTCGATATAACCGATTCAATGAGACGATCAATAATTTTTGGGAATACGGTCGACATACTCTCGTTAACAACGATGGACAGAGCACCAATCAAATTGTAAATGGCACGTCTAAAATCTGGATCATTTGGCCCATCATCCAACATCATCAAGCAATAGGCCATTGTATCATTGGCTAGTGGAATAAAATTATCCTTTCCTACGACGCGTGTAATCGAGGCCAAAGTATCAATTGCCTCGTTGCGTAACTCTTTCATCTCTTCGGAACATTCCTTCACCAAATAATTTTTCAGTATTTCCACGATTTTTGGAAAATATGGCATCAAGTGCTCCCTGGCAGCCAAAGCTGTTGCTGAAACAGCAGACAGTCCCAGCACACGAAGATGAATCGAATTGTTGGTATCCAGAGTATCGAATAAACTGCAAGTATATAACTATTTCTAAGACATTCAGAAGTATAATAGAATATTTGGCATTTCTTACCGACTCATCAATAGCGGCAAATGTGGCACAATGTCCTCCTCTAGATTCTGGCAGTAGTTTTCCAACGCATAAAACATACGATCCGTGTGCTTCGGTTCCGGATTGCCGCTCTGTAAAATTGTTGGAACAAAATATATTACCAAATAAGCAAGATTATATAGTCTACTTGTGCTGCCACATAAGTGTTCAGTGAGGATGCTTCAAAATTTGTGCTGTCCTTAACCCCTTGTTTTTTATTCCTCATATACCTCATGCTCCTTTAATTAATAAGCATATACAATTACTTTACTTAAATATATATGATAGCTTTAGAGCACATTTCATATAATGACACTTTTCTTCTTTCTTAAGTTGCGGAAACCACTTTCAATAAATAAAATAAGAGCAACAACAATTCTATACAATATTATCGGTTTCCCAAACAAACAATACCCTTGCAGATATGTATTTACAAGCGAGATTTCTCAAAAAAAAAAAAAAAAAAAAAAAAAAAAAAAACAAATTAACCAGACAGACGGAAGAAGAATGTTATAGTTTATACTTCTATATTGCAGTTATAATAACCTCCGCAAGGGTATATATGATCGCTACCGCAGAAAAAACATTAATACAATAAGAAGTGATGTGTGAAAAAACAGCTACTACAAATTTAGCAGGAAAATGGCACCCTGTATTTGGAGAGAACTGATTTGCGTTTGATTTGCAGTTGATTTATATACATAATGGTATCTTTGCCGGGCACGGCATTCGACTCGTTGCCACTGCTGGTTTGCTCAGCCTTTTTTGATGCAGCACAAACAAAATAAGATAATTACAATGTAAATAGACATGAAATTGTAGCGTGTAAGCAGTTTACCTTTATCTCAATCACCAGCTGCTGCAGAAAATCAAATAATACAGGTAAAATCTGAGGTGCAAATCTCGATATCTCCGGCTGCAGATGCTCCGAGAATTGACCCAAAGCAAAGAAGCTAGCAATGCGCACAATGGGCGAGTTGTCAGCAATGCCACTCTTAACGATGTTCAGCATAACTTCCAAATACTTATTGCAAATGGCCTCCGAGCAGCCTTCAGCGATAACAGCGATGCAAAGATAGGCGGCACGGCGTCGCAGAGGATCAGGACTTTGCAATGCCGGCTCAAGCAATTGCAACAGTGGAGGAATCAATTTTTCCGGCGACAAATTGATGGCCAACAAATCGAGCGTTTGTGTGGCTGCTGTCACCGGACTGTTGCTGCTCTCACCAGTAAACAACTCATCTGTCAAATATAACACTTATTGATATATACGTAAGTATATACATATTCCTTAAAATCTAATGGATTCTTGCTTACCATCATCCAGTTCAGTTTCACAGCACATCATCTCAAAGATGACGGCAATGATGGGTTCAAGTAACTTCTGTTTGACAATTGCCTTCTTCTTTATGCGCACCACGCGTCCAATGAATGTAACCACCTGTACGCGTATCGAGTCATCGATTTGCTTATTGTTTGCCGTCTCGAGGCAGAATTCCATTAAGTGTTTCACATTGTTATTGAGCAGCTTTGGCACATACTCGGCAATACTATCAATGACATCGAATACAATGCAGAACTCCTGCTCATCGCCCTTCTGGGCAAAGGCAAAGACGGTTTTGATGATGAGTGGCAGTATTTTGAGAACTGTCTGCTCAGCGCTTGTATGACCGCTTACAAATGGCATCAGATAACTCATGCCCATGGTTATATTAGCCACAGTGGGCGTGGATAGATTACCTTTCGCCTCAGCGGACATAAGAACAGCGGCAAACATTTGACAAATTGAGTCCATATGAGAGACAAATTGATCAGGTGCTGCATCGGTGAGCGTGGCAAATATTGAAGAGCCCAGCTCACTCTCCTTGGGATCATCCACATTGCAACGGCTATAGATGAAATTAAGCAGTTCGGCTAACCACGAGTCCTTTTTCTCCTCTTCGTGACGTACCAAGGAGCCAATAAATTGGGCTATGGCATTCTTTACAGATTTTTCCTTTTCGGCAATCAATGCTTGAAGCATGCCAGTCTTAATGCTGCAATATGAAACCATTCGAATCACGATAATCCCATAATGCTGTGTATTGTCGTTACCTTTCCTTCTGGTCAGCTGGCACCATTTGCCAGTTACGCAGTTTTTGGAGCCGCTTATTCAGCAGCACAGCTGCAAATTGTCTCACTTGCGGCTCACGCTGTGAGACAATGATCTGACACAGTGCATTCAAGGTTTCCGGATTTTCATAAGCCTTACCCAGCTCACTGGTGGCCTGGCAATAAAATTAAAATAGATTTCAATTACATGAGAATTTACTCAAAAATTAATTAATAGCCACACATATTTCTGTGTGAGTTTATAAATTTAGGAAAAGCGTGTTTTGAATTATGAAGACTCTACTAAAGCTATAATGGAAATAATAATATTCACTATAAAATGCCCTTTCACATTTATAATTCTGCCGCCAAGCTGAAGATTTACTAAATCACAAAGTAATATCAGTTTTGTTCAGTTTTAAGCTACTTGTTCACTTAATATATGAACTGACCATATATATGTTTGATATTTACATATATTAATTAAACGTTTGTTTTTATATGGATTAGCTCTTAAGCTTAAGCATAAGCACAGTACACTAAATCAATATGCCCCATTTTACTTTTCGAATAGGGTATATAAAAGCATATATGTATGTTTGTGTAGGAATGTGCGTGTATCTGTTTAGTATAAAATGTGCACATGGTTTGGGCAATTATTGTGCCAATGATAAAGAAATTGGAATTTAATGTATAATATACAAACGATGTCAATTACGCATATCAAATATTTCAAAAGTTAAATTGAGATATCTCATAAGTGGGAAATGGGCGCGTTTTAAGGCGTCGGTAAGCTTTTTGTTAAGTGAAAGGATTTAAAATCCACATGCCGGTCGCTTACCTGACGTATCCGTTCAGTATCTGTACATAATAATCCAGCAATGATTTCATCTAAAATAATATCCATGGTTAATGCCTTTAATTTTAAATCAATAGGTTTCGCACAGCGATAATCAAAGGAGCACAGCACGTCTTCTATATGCCGCCGAAGTACAAGCACGAAACCACTTTGGCGATATTGCAAAAATTAAAGACCTGGTAGACCAGGGCAGTAAAGCACGCCAACACCACGTTTTAAAACTGGCAGGGATACAATAATTATAGTATAATTTCTTATGTTGGAAGATTTTCACATTTAACGAAATTTTCGAATTTGGATATTACATAAAATTTAACCAGCTTGCTTTCTTTATGAAATCATATTAAACTTTTAACGTAGCATAATTTTGATATGACTTCAGAAATATCGATATGTAAAAAGAATCGCAAAGTGTGCCCAGCTAGTAACATAACAGGAGCGTCGTGAGGCATGAGCACCATTTTGAACGCCAACGTCGCGCGTTTTCTTATTACAATTTATTTTTCTCAGTTTTGTGTTTTTATAGTCTTGCCTTAAATGGATAAAACTGCAAGGAACCATAGCGACGGCAGTCAAAGAGATAATAATTCATTAGGCATATTAACTTTGGATAATCTGAGAGGTAATTGGTTAAAGGACATGGCGTCTTATCTGTATGCATGATTTCCAAATCCTGTATCTTACATACCCATTTATAACTAGTTTTTGGGGACATGTCAAATTTAAGCAAAAGCGGCAGTGCAAATACAAGCAGGGAATCATTAAATGTTCACGAGCGACTCAAGGTATGGTCAGTAATATAAATAATAATCAATTAATACACGCCTTGATTTGTTATAGGCGGGAAGGCTTAAGGCCTTGGAAACTTTGGGAAAGCCACGACCACGATCTAGTTATGCATTTGAAGAGCACGATAATAACGAAGGAAGCAAGTTTAAACGTGAGAAGAGGCTTTTATTAATATAACACAAATAACCAACATAATTTTGTAGCCGGTAATCGTGTGAGCATTGCGTCCAGCCGCCAAAGCAACAACACGAACATTTCCGATCTAATCACTGAGGAAACTATCGACCTAAATTCGAGTGGCTCCGTTCTGATGACGACGCCTGCACCTACTGGCACAAATATCTTCTTTGAGCCTGGCGAGATAACAGGACGTTCGACATTATGCAAAAGCGGTAAAAATGACTCTAAGCCTGGCAGTCAAATCTCTGTGGCTGATATACTAAGATCTTCTTTTGTGGAGAAAGCGCGTGTACAATTCGCAAAGCAGCTGGAGAAAGTGCCAGTTACTGAAAGTACGAACCATAGCACTTTGAGTGATTCGTTTAGTTGCTCTCGCAGTTTGCCACGCACTGCAGATATGAGCAATTCGAGCCTTAATGGTGGTTCGGGTATATCCTTTGGCTCTGCGGGTGGTCAAGGATATGACGAAAGCTTTGCTCCAGCTGAAATGATGCAGTCACAGCTAGTGATGGGCGAAATATCATGGGCTCAGGAATTTGCCGTTGTACCAACGGCCACCCTCAGCAAGCAAGCATTGGAAAAGATTGCAGCTCCGACCAAGCCGTCGGAAATTGATAACTTAGTGTCCAAGTAAGTTGAATGATGTATTGACAAAGATTATTTATAAAACAATTTTGTATTTTGCAGCTCTATAATTGCCGGAGATCCTAATTTTTCGCTAGGCAATTATTTTCAAATGCGCTCAGAAAATTTGTCATTCATCGTGGGTCGCTCTAGCCGAGGTGGGGATCCCCAAGTTGAGCAAAATATAACAGTAAGTAGCGCTGGTGTGAAAACGCCACACGTGGAGAATAAAACTTACACGAAGATCGAAAGCAACGCCAAGCTCGAACGCAATCTTATGAACAAAATGCAACAGGATACTTTTAATAAGGCCGTGCAGGCGGAAACAAAGAAAAAGCCTAGTAGCTCGGAGTTATTTAGCTTGTCCGCAATTGATGCCGCTTTACGTAAGTTTGAGAGAAACAGTGTTTTGTCTTATCTAACGAAAAACCTATTTTACAGGCAATCTGGACGTGAATTCAGATACATCTGTAGGTGAGGTTGTAAACAGACTGCGTACACGTGGCTATGACTACGAACTTGATGATGAGGATAAAGAGAATACACTGTGCACATCGAAATCCCGATCAAAGTTTTCAGACACTATGAGCTTTACAGATTCGCTATTGAATTCAAGTGACTTTCAGCAGTTGCAAAAGAGCTTGGCATCAACAACGGATCGACAGCCATTAAGTCCGCTGGCGGACTATATGCCAGGCCAACCTAGTATAATGATTACAGCTAGTGAAGATCATGATGCAGACATAGATGAATGGCCATCGACACCAGTGAAGTCGCCGGGACGTCGTGTGCGCCACACAAAATCACCAAATAAACAACGAGGGGTGAGCCCAACAAGCAGCGATGGTGTTAAACCATTGCCCACCTCAGATGAAGATGGGGATATAGACGAGGATAAGACACCGGTCAACAAAACACGTAATAATACTCTGCCTGTTGTACGCATTCAAAATTCATTCTGTTCCACACGTGTTGATGGCTGCGATGTTGTGCCATCTTCATCCGAATGTGACTTTGGCATCTCTCCGAATCTGGCTTATAGTGTTTCTGTTTCTAATTTGCAACACGTTTCGCCGTTGACGTCGCCACGCAGCTGCTTGTCCTCACCTCTACTGGACAGCACAACAAGCTCTGAACGTCGTCTTTTAACCGGTACTAGCTTAGCACGCAGAGTTAATACCTCTCCGGCACCCAGCGAGGCGAGCTCCACAAGTGGATTTAATGCAATGCGAAAAGTGGGCGGTGGTACACAGCTGAGTGTAGCACCGCGCAGTATGTCGCGTTGTTCCAACTCAAGCGAGTTCAGTCATCGCGATGGCAAATTGCTGCCCTTGAAGGTGACCCACACAAGCCTCTGCTGGGGCAGCACGAAGCTACGTACAGATGTGCGCAAATCAATGCAAATTAAGAATACAAGTGACAAACGGCTGGTGATTCGCCTGTGCATACAAGGACCTGGCTTTCAGTTGGTCAGCGGTGATAGCAATGCCGTCACATTACAATCCATGGAATGCCGCAGCATTGGCATTAACTTTTGTCCGACGGTCAGCGGCGCAGCCATTGGAGCACTCAAGTTCTATGCTCCGTTCGGTGCCAACAATTGTCAGCATCCAGGCTTGGAAATACCTCTATTTGGTTATGGAGGTAACGCCGCGATTACTATACAAGGATTACTAAAAGGACCTGTTGGCGCCAGCTTTCTAACCATTGGCAATGTATGCGAGCTGTCTTCGGGTCCCCTGATGGCTAGCTTTAAGTTCTACAACAAAGGACCGCTACCAGCCTTTGCAGGCATCGCAATCGATTCGACGATGTTCTTAAAACCACGTTTGAATGCCGCCTTCGAGGTTCGTCCTAGCAAAGTTATACTTCCTCCTCACAGCGAGACTGTGGTGCAGGTTGTATTCCGACCAAATCGTGACGACATTAAGAACGTTCTCAAGAAGACGTCGCAAGTGCTCACATTGGCTAATATGCGTGTTTTTTGTGGTGATGAACCCAATCGACAGCGTATGCGAGCCTTGGTGCAGCGCATGACGGCTGAACAGCGTGAGCAATTAACCTCATCCATGCTGGACAACATCTTGTGCAATTTTCCAAGTGAACAGCCTATACGTAGCATAGCCATGCTAAATGAGCCTCCAGAATTTATACTTGACTTGGTTACTGTGGTTCGCATTATAGATGTGGCAATAACTTTAAATCGTGATTTCGATGAGTCGGCAGAAACATCACATCTTTGTTTTCCGGATGCCGAGGAGACCATTCTATTTCGCACTGTTTGTGCAGCCAATTCTCCAACGCCCAGCCACATGCTGGATCCCGTTGATGAACTACACGAGGTGGATACGACTTCAGCCACGGAACCGCAATCGCTGGAGCGCAACTGGTCCGTGCAACCTGCTACCATGGAGATTGACTTGTCCAACAGCGGCGGCTTGGACGGAACTAAGCTATTCATCAAAAACAACTTCAGCTCTCGCCAATATATTGAATTGAATTGCAATGTTCCAGACATTCTGCACATTTCTCCAAGTGAATGTTATGTAGCTCCAGATGGTGGCCATGTGGAAGTTCTTGTACGACCATTGCGCACACCGAGCCGAGAAATCCTTAACAAACAAATGCAAGTCGTTGTCGAAGTATCGATGGAGAGTGAACGTATTAATGTGCCCGTTACTTTTAAAATCTAAATTTATATCGATTGTTTTTAGCGCAGTTCTCAGTTAGCGCCTTGGTATTATATACATATGTTAATTTTAGTTTTGAGATATAATGTATTTTCTTGTCATTTAAATGGACCAACTCGTTCATTATAAATAAAGAAAATAATTTTGTAGCAAGAATATACATATAACGGACTATCAAACGGCTCGCAGAAACGAATTTCTATACGAATAAGGTTCGCGTTAATATTTAATTTATATTTATATATTGAATTAAATTTTTATTTACATTTGATGCATTTGTGTATAAATACATTATATTGTTTAAATATGTTTGTCATTCATTATTAAATATCGCATTGAAGTTTTAATAAGAGCAGCAAAACAGCTGATGCTATATCGATATATTTGGTATGTTTGTCATATTATAAGCTGGTTACACTAATCTCATTAACGAAAGCCTATTTAGTTGGAGTGATTCAGTTTTAAATATAATAAAAACAATATTTAATTTAGGTTTCTAATACTATTCATATTACTTATTGCCATAAGCTGACATGCCTTCCTATGAATTGGCGTTGGTTCTGCGGCAACTTCCACGGGTCTGTATGCAAATAAATGGGTGTACCGGTTATGTAAAGTAAATAATGTGCGTTTTCTTTTAGCCGGAGTTGATCTCAGTCATCAAGCGAACAGCTGAAGCAATCTTCGATAAGGGCGGTATTATTCGAAAATTCGAAAATCTTGGCACACGTCCACTACCCCACAAAGTGAGCGAGCATGGCGTTGTGCACCGAGAAGCAACCCACTTTACGATTACGTTCGATTCGGCGCCCACAAAGTTGTCAGACTTAAAAGAAGAATTTGGAAGAGATATTGATATCATACGCAGAAACATCTTTAAGGTGGAGGAGCCCGAGGAATACAAGTGCACATTGCATGAAGAAATGCTGCCTCCCTCTTATCGCAAGGATGTTCAGGAGATAATTGAAATAGCAAAGAGAAAACAGAAACCCAAATACAACTATAACTCAGGACTAGATTATTATCCCTTCCAAAAGTAGAATCTACAATCTTCAAATAAAAGCCGTGTATACATGATGAATCGCTATAAACCTTTATGTACCTTTCGATGTTTACAATTCTATACATTAGGGACATGATGAAATATTTAGTTTATCAACTAAGTTCACAGTGTCCGTTTTTATTGGTTTTATGGTACACAATTATCGTTATCAGAAATTGATAAACAGGCATAATCAAATCAGCTATAACTTGTAGACTCCACGAATTTATGAATAGTCACAGTTCAATATTTGATCGTTGAGGCAGACACGGACGTTTTCCAACAATTAACATGGCACCTCAAATTCGCCCCATTTCTGCCGAGCTACAAGCAGTGGCTAAGGAGCGCCTCAACGAGGATCCTGATCGCATTGAAGCAGATCTACAGGCACTGAAGATTTGGATAGAGCAACAGCCTCATTTGAATCCACGCACAGACGATCAGTTCCTAGTCGCTTTTCTAAGGGGCTGCAAGTACAGCTTGGAGAAGACTAAATCTAAATTGGATAAGTACTACACGTTGCGAACTAAATATCCTGAATTATTTTGTGTAACCGATGTCGACGATCCGATTTTACGAGAAATTCAGCAATTGGGGTGAGCCGTCTGAAATTTTTCACGAAGGTCAATTGATATACTATATTCTATTGTTTATAGACCCATAGTCTACCTACCCAATACATTCAACGGAGCACGAGTAGGTATATTTAGACTAGGCGTTGCACCAGCTGAAAAATATAAGATAACAGACGTAATGCATGTCGGACAAGTAATGCAAGAAATAGCACTAATGGAAGATGACGAAGCAATAATTAATGGAATAGTATTTATCATGGACATGAATGGAGCAACTGCATCGCACCTATTCCAAATGACTCCTGGTCTTGCAAAGAAGATGACTGTGTTTAATGAGGAGGCCTTACCCATGCGACCCAAAGCTCAGCATTTTGTAAATACGATTGCTGGTTTTGAAACGATCTTCAACATGGTTAAGCCCATGATGTCCAAAAAACAACAGGAACGACTCTTCATACATAGCAAGATAGATTCATTATTAGAGCATGTGCCTTTGAAATATCTACCCAAGGAATATGGTGGCGAAAATGGTTCCATACAAGAGAGCATAGTAGAATGGCAGAAGAAATTTGATCAATACAGAGATTACTTCAAGGAAAATACTAAATTTGGCACCGATGAAAAACTGCGTCCTGGCAATCCAATTGATTTTGATAGTCTATACGGTACGGAAGGCTCATTTAGAAAACTAAATGTTGATTAATAGCGAATTTGATCTTAATGTTTTAATTGGTCACTATAAAAAATGAATTTTAGAAGTTTTGTATAGAAATAAAAAAGATAAACAATACGTTTTTTTATGCGCATTCTCACAATTGGCGCATTTTGACTTACTGCATATAAAATAAAAATCCAGTGTATCGATATATATATGTATATCTATATATATCGAATGATGATGTGAGAAAACTAGCACCTCTAGCCCATGTGACTTTGACGTATGGAAAAAGTAGCGTTTACGTTTTACTGCACACAGCATTACTAATAACAGTGGTAACTGTACAGCATACTTTTCGGCACTTATATTATGTCCCGCTCAAATCTTATTCTCCTAATAATTCGATTTAGAGAACCATTTCTGGTTTTTAGGTAACAGTGAATACAATGTTGCGTCAATTTATTATCATATTATATTTTAAAATAGTCTACACCATTAAAATTTTAATGTCTCTGCGTGCGCAATGTTAATAACATTGTGATGTTAATGTTAAAGCCCCTAATCTGTAAATTAACATCCCTGTGTGTCACGACGTATGTGACTTAGACGTATGGAAAAAGTGTATCACATAACTCTGTCGTAGTTGTATATTTTAATTAATTGAAACGAAAAATTTTCTAAATTAGTGTCGTACAACTGGCTAAAAGCAGTTGTGGATGCCAGCAGATACGTTGGAGTTAACGAATTAATCAACACACATTGTGTTAAATCGATATCTATATATATGTGTACATATGTGTGCGTAACGAGTATACGATAATTGTGAGCACGCGTTTTGTAGAGTATTTTGCGTTGCAAAGATGCATTCGCTTAATTGGACATCGCGTCTAATATCTCGAGCGTTACGTAGCAGCTTCTCAACGCTACTTGACTCCGCGTCGGGTGCCACAACCAAAGGTGCTGCAAAGACAACGCCAAATCGATCTCGGCCTCGATTCGTTTCAGTGGTTTGTGGCTTCGCCAAGGACAATCTGCGACACAAATATAAGCCTGGCAAATATGGCGAGGACTCCTGGTTTAAGGCATCCACAGAGTCGGCCGATGTGATGGGCGTGGCCGATGGTGTTGGCGGCTGGCGAAGCTATGGTATTGATCCGGGGGAGTTCTCCTCATTTCTCATGCGTACATGCGAACGGCTAGTGCGCTGCACCCACTTTAATCCGCAGCGTCCTGTCAACCTGCTTGCCTACAGCTACTGCGAGTTAATGGAACAAAAGAAACCGATATTGGGCAGCAGTACAGCATGTGTGCTAATCCTGAATCGAGAGACAAGCACGGTGCATACAGCGAATATAGGAGACAGTGGTTTTATGGTGGTGCGAGAAGGCGAGATTGTGCATAAGTCAGAGGAGCAGCAGCACTACTTTAATACGCCCTTCCAGCTATCCCTGCCCCCGCCTGGTCATGGGCCCAATGTTCTCAGCGACAGCCCCGAATCGGCGGACACAATGAGCTTTCCCGTGCAAGAAGGTGATGTCATATTGATTGCCACTGACGGTGTCTTTGACAATGTACCCGAGGAACTGATGCTTCAAGTGCTGCGCGACGTTGAGGGTGAACGCGACCCGGTCAAGCTGCAAATGACGGCGAATACCTTGGCACTGATGGCTCGCACGCTCTCCCAAAATAGCGATTTCCTTTCGCCCTTCGCCATCAGCGCTCGTCGCAACAATATTCAAGCGCGCGGCGGGAAGCCAGACGATATAACCGTGGTGCTCGCCACAGTGGCAATGTGAAGCAACTCATAGTTGTCATTGTTGTCCTAATCCCTAGTTCTTAAATGTGTAATTAATTGTAGCGTGTACTCGTTTAGTTTTTAGGAGTCAGTTTGTTCCGGTAGTTATATCCAGATATATGTTTAAGCTGCATGTTGAGATTGTGAGGACAGACACTCAATTGTTAGTTACCCAGCCCATACAGACTCACATATACACACATACTGAGTAATCGACGCATCCTGGTGAAGCGACCCCAAAACAAAAACAAAAATACGAAGTCCAAAGCGCGTAAGCAATGCCTTGAACTATATATATTATTAAATATATATACATTATGTATAAGTAGAAACGCTTTTAAAACGAAAAAAAGAAAAGATTATCAGCCGAAATGATCGTTGTCGTCAATGGCAGCGAGTTACGAGAGAGTTCTAATCAATAATAAAATGCGACATACATTACATGCATACAAACAAACAAAATTAATTACGTACGTGCATTCATACATATATATCCCCACACCCCCAATCAATCAAAAGTTGTGGGATACTATGCAAATATTTGAACTGAGGATTTATCCAGGCAAACTGTCTTACGGACGAACTGTTAGTCAAATGTACTCACTGATATTGCGATTTAATAAAACATATTCATTGAAATAAACAAAATTAGTCTTTTATTATTTATAATAATTGCGCTACTTTCGCAAGCGGTGCAAAGGTCGTTTAAAATTTGTAAAAGCCCACTTGGATATGCTTTGCATCTGCTATATTAGCTTGTATACATATGCATATTTGGAGCTAGTGTGGGCAGACGCACCCCGCTACAATCGCTAGACGAGTCGCTTGATTATACTGCGCAGTCCCGTACAGCGCCGATAACATGACTGATACGCACATCCCTAACTTTCTGCGACAGCTGTTGCTTCTAATGCAACGTTAACCAACACTAAACAACGAATAGCATCACAACAAAAGCCAAAAAGCAATGAAGAAGCATTACGAACAGTCTATTTCAGTGCAAATGGAGCCGTAAAATATAAAATTAACATAAAAATGAAACTTTACAAGTTGAACACTCACACAAGGGGGTGCAATAAGTCGTACGGTAAGTGGGACGGGATAAAAATGGCAATAAAAGCATTCAATGTGCATTTGTGCAGAATCGGACCTGGTGTTGAATCCACAGGATCATCCAACAGCTAAAGTTGGGGATGTAGTGGAAATATATGCACCCGACGATGAAAACGGCACGCACTTGCTGCTGCAGATAACTGAGCTGAATGAACAGAGCAAAACGGGTCGCAATGTGATAAGCATAGAATCAGGCATAGCGACAGCATTTAAAATGCGTTCCTATTCCAATGTCGTAATGCGTATTGTGAATCCCGCGGACGTTGCCCTCGACTCAATAGAAATTACATTTAAGGAACAGTATATGGGCCGCTCGGAAATGTGGCGACTAAAAACCTATCTGGTGAGTACTGTCTGTCACTAAATAGAAATCCTAAATGAATACAATCATTTATCTCTTGATTGCAGACAAATACCTGTGTGTATGCGAATAAAAAGATTGACTATAATGATATGCAGATACGCTGCCAAGTTTATGAGATGTGGTCGCAGGGCGAGCGAGTGGCCAGTGGCGTTATTACAGAAGAAACCAAAATTGTTTTTCGCAGCAGCACCTCGATGGTTTACCTATTTCTGCAAATGTCATCGGAAATGTGGGACTTTGATATACATGGGGATTTGTACTTTGAAAAAGCTGTTAATGGCTTCCTCACCGAGCTCTTTCAGAAGTGGAAGAAACTGAGCTGCAACCATGAGGTCACCATTGTGCTTTTCTCTCGCACTTTCTACGCGGCCAAATCCTTAGATGAGTTTCCTGCGCACATGCGCGATTGCTTGCAACAAGACTATAAAGGACGTTACTATGAAGATTTCTATCGGGTGGCCATACAAAACGAGCGAAATGATGATTGGTGCACGGTGCTGGCGCAGTTGCGCAAGCTTTTCACCTCCTACCAAGAGACTGTGCTGCGCTATCATGAACGTCAGAATATGGTTATACCACAAGCGACCAACTCAACCGCCACACAGGGCAATTTCCTAGAAGTGCTTAATATTTCACTTAATACTTTTGAGAAGCATTATCTGGATCGCACTTTTGATCGAACGGGTCAACTGTCTGTTGTGATAACACCCGGTGTTGGCGTCTTCTCTGTGGACCGAGAACTTACTAACATTACCAAGCAGCGCATCATTGATAATGGCGTTGGCAGCGATCTCGTTTGTGTCGGCGAGCAACCGCTGCACGCTGTGCCGTTGCTCAAGTTCCATAACAAGGATACATCCATAACATCGGCTGATGACTACTCACTGCCCCATTGGATTAACCTAAGCTTCTACTCGACTAACAAAAAGATAGCATATTCGAGTTTCATACCACGCATCAAGCTGCCCATTTTATCGGCTGTTGATGAAGGCGATGTGGAGGAAAATGAGCGCAATTTTCTTAGCTGCAATCAGTCGGAGTACATTTACAACTCGCTTTTTGATTATGATGCATACGATGAGCAAATTTTTCAGCCGCTGCCAGCGCAGAGCACATGGTCAGATTATTAGTAATTTATGTAGTTTCTTGACACATAACTCCTTGTTTCTTTGCAGCTCACTGCAGCGAGTTGTGCGTGCCAAGAAGACATCGGTGCCCAGCTTTGAAACATACGCGTATCGCAACAATGACTGGGAGAATTTAACGCCCACTAAGATACCCAGCTTACGGCGGAAAATGTCCGACCCGGATATACATCATGGCACTTCAGGCATGCTGGCCACGTTGACAGATACCGCTAACAATTTGTCCGAATCTTTGGCCTCAGAAAAGAATGCAAGGCGGGCGATTGTGAGCATTGCTCCAATTGTACGCCCTGGTCGTGCATTAATTAATCCCTTCGATCCATCCCATGTGACCATAAAGTTGACTTCTAATAGACGACGCTGGACGCATATATTTCCCAAGGGGCCGACGGGCGTGCTTATACAGCAGCATCATTATCAAGCGGTGCCTGCCAAAGCCTTGCCTGCTGTCAACTGCAATCGACAGCTGCAGCACTGCAATAGCAACAGTAATAATAGCTATAATAATAATAATAATAATAACGAGTTTAGCTCAGCTGCAACTGAGCATTTTGATGAGCTGTCCAATCACTCACTGTTGAGCCAGACCAAGTCATTTAGCTCGCAGAGTGAGGAGAAATCTGACTGTAAGTAGACTTTAGGATCCATATACTTATTAGTCATGCTCATTGTTCTGCGCAGTTTTCAAGCGTCGCAATACTTCGCTGTTGAATGCCGCACACGCTGCCAATGTGCCCAACCTGACGGCCACACAGGCCAAA